ACGGGTGTCGGGCTAAGGGGGTATAGGATGGAATGGGATGGGAGAATAAGAGGGGAGGGAGTATGGCGGAGGTGGAGGAGAGGGTGTGTGAATCCAGTCTCGTATGGGCATTCTTTTAAAGAGTCCTCAATTGTACCATTCTATATACTCGTTCTGAGGGTTGATTTCGTCGTCCCTCCACCACCCATTCATTCAGCCATCATCCATCATCCCATTCGTGCATCCATCCATCCATCCATCCATCCATCCATCCATCCATCCATCCATCCATCCATTCGTCCATACATACATACGTACATAGTTATATACATATGAGAGACGCGCGTAAACACACGAGTTTGTCAATAGGGGGAGGGAAAACAACAACTTCATTGCTAAATTCCTACTATCCCTTAGAAAGACGATGCAACATAGGTTTGTTTTCTATCTTCGTTTATCTCTCTCTCTCTCTCTCTCTCTCTCTCTCTCTTTACCTTTCTCTTTCTTTCTCATTCTCTCGTGTTCCGGCACACTCGAAGGCACTTTCTTCTTGCGCTTATTTCACGCGACGTTCATGTGTAGCGTCGGACGAGCGCGGTTCATCGAGAAGGAAACGCGAGATAGAAGGGAGCCGGGATTTGACGGGGGCGAGGGAAGGGGATGGTAGAGATGGCGAGGGTGAGGACGAAGGCGAGAGGGAAAGAGGTCCGGGGACGAATTGTAAACTGGAACGTCGGCCACGGACCGCCCGTCGCAGGAACTATAATATATCTGCGTGCTTTAAGTAACAGCGCTAGCTTTGATAATGGTCGCCGACGCCTCCTCAGACGCCAACGTTACTGCTGCCTTTCCCGTCGCCGGGAGAAGGAGAGAGAAAAAGTGTGAGATAAAGAGAGAGTGAGAGAGATATATATATATATATGTATATATATCGTTTGTAAAAGACTACTTACAATATTGCCTCTACGTCGTACACGTTCATCTCGTCTACTACACCACGTTCCTGAGCGAGTTTTAAACCCTTTTTGAATTAACCGGTTTCGCTCGCGACGCGACGCGACTCGACTTGACTCGACTCGACTGAACGCGAAACAGAAGGTGGGAGTAATCGAGAAACGCGTAGGTGTTTGTCTACATATAGATACATATCTCTTTTTCTTTTCTTTCCATTTCTTTTCAATTGTCTTCCCTTCTATTTTTCCCTTTTTTTTTGTTTTTTTTTTTTTTTTTTTTATTTTTCTTTAACGTCGCTAAATCCCTTAGGAATGAAAGATCTTTAAAAGGGATTGCCGCAGCGATCGCGTCGCACTCGTGCGTTTGAATTATTCTCTTCATTGTTTGTATCTCTCTCTCTCTCTCTCTCTCTCTCTCTCTCTCTCTCTCTCTTACTCTCTTTCTCAACAACTAACGTAACGAAGACTAGGAGTATGAATTAAACGGCAGGAAGATTCGAAAAGCATGCTCTCTCTCTCTCTCTCTCTCTCTCTCTCTCTCTCTCTCCCTCGCAGGTAGTAGTTGTCTGCTCGCGTTAACGAACAACTGCATTTTGTGTTCCGAAATATCTTTTCAGTCGACACGTTTACAGAAACGCGTTATGCTCACGCTTCGACATATAGGAGGTGTGTTCCACTTTCTCCATCTCCGTGTGACGTTTCCTCTATTGTTCCGTGCGAAGATAAACGCGCGGACGTAGATGCGAGAGAATATTTTTCGAAGCGTCTCTTCGTTGGACCGGACGAGCGCGCCTTTTATCGTTTCGCAGTGTCTCTATATCTTTATCTCTCCCTCCCTACCTCCCTCCCTCACACTTCCACCCTCTCTCTCTCTCACTCTCTCACCGTCTCTCTGTCACTCTGTCTCACACCGGATGTTACGCGAGCAAGACGAGACAACGCGTTTTTTCAAAATCATTCAACTTGTTTTTATTTTGTGTATGTGTGTGTGTGTATGTTCATTTTTTTTCTCCTCCCCCTTCTCTCCCTCTCATTTTTAAAAATTTCTTTTCTATTTTATACTTTGAATTTTCTTTCTTTTCTCATCCCCCATTTTAATTTCGTGCACGTATGCGTATATATTAATTATGGCGCTTTCTTTTTTTAACGTTGTTCGTCCCATTTTTTGCTTTCTTTCGATCTTCGTCGTAGACAAAAGATTACGTGGAAAGGGCAAGAAGAAAAAGAAAAAAAAAAAGAAAAGAAGAAAGGAAGGAAGGAAGGAAGAAAGAAGAAAAGAAAAAGACAAAAAAAAAGAAAAATAAAAGAAAAAATAAATGAGAGAATTCAAATGGCACACCGGTTGTTGTTGTACGGACGGCGCTGGGTTGTTTGTCTTGAGGGGAAAAATTAGGAGCCACTAGCGCGATCCTTCGTCGTTGCACCTGCAATAAAGTTCTATCAAGGATGCACAAGGAGAGAAAGAGAGAGAGTGAGAGAGAGAGAGAGAGGGAGACAATGACTCTGTTGCGCTCGCGTTCAAGTAAGGAACTCGCTAAAACCATAACTCTCTTTTAGCAAATCTTCTACTTTATCGTATAGGTACGTCAACTTTGTCTTTCTTCGTTATATTTATCCCGGAAAAATAGACACCCTATACCTATACCTTTCAATAAGAAGAAAGTGAAAAAAAAGATAAAAAAAAAAAAAAAAAAGAAAAAAGAAAAGAAAAAGCAAATAGAAAAAATTCCTTAAAAGAGATATACATCTGAAAATATGTAAAAAAAAATCGAAGAGTTTGGTTTCCTTAAATTCATTAATATAAACGATTGCAGATCGAAGATTTAATTGACTTGACTTTCCTCCTTATTCTTTTTCTTCGTCATTCATTAAATCGTTCGTTCGTTCGTTCATTCATTCATTCATTCATTCATTCATTCATTCATTTGTACGTACAAGAGGCAAGCGTCGGCGTTGACGCGCGTAATTACACGGCGGGATTAAAGCGACACGTCGTACCTTCTCTCTATCTCACTATTCCTACTATCTATCTATCTCTATCTCTTTCCCTCATTCTCTTTCTCTTCGTCCTTATCCTTATCCCCCACTTACTACTCCTCCTCGTCACGAGAAAGGACGGATCGTGGGCACTTCGATAGATACTTCCCAACCTCCCACGACGTTCAACCGGCGTTTCCTTCAACGTTGTGTAGCAGGGTTCTCGATGTTCGCGTCGCCTAATTGGAGATTCTCGAAGTTACCGAGGCAGAGGAGCCGAATGAATTTCGTGAGCGACGCTCGGCTCTTCAATTCTCTTGCCAGCGCTTTACGGAAAAGGGAGAGGAGAAATAGTGAACGTAAGAGAAAGAGAGAGAGAGAGAGAAATATATAGGGAAACGAAGAGAGTTCGTCCGTGTCTTTACCGTTCGTGGAACGGTCGTAAATGACAGAAGAAGAGAGGAGGGGGTGGGGTGGATGTGTAAGGTGGTAGAATTGAGGGTAACGTACGTCGAGCAATAATTATATTGGGTGCGCTGGTCTAAAGGTTTAAACCCTACTATCGCGATGTGGAGGAGAACACCGGTTAGGAGAGTATAGTGACAGTGAGAGGCTGCCGAAAAGGAGGTCGGAGGATACGTTTTAATCACAGGACTAGTGAAAGAGAGAAAGAGAGAAAAAGAGAGAGAGAGAGAGAAAGCCTAGGTAGGCTCGGCTCGGCTCGGCTTGCTCCTCGCTTGCCTTGGCTTGGCTTGCCTTGGCTTGGCTTGGCTTGGCTTGGCTTGGCTCGACGAGCTCGCACAGTTTAAACGTTCGTCGACTCTGAGAATGCGAATTGAGAGATAAAACGAGAAAGTTGCTACCCCCGGTCTCTCTAATGTTTCTGCACCTCTCTCTCTCTCTCTCTCTCTCTCTCTCTCTCTCTCTATCTATCTCTCTCTCTTCTGCTCATCAACTCTCTCATTGCTTTGTACGTTTCTCCACCCTCTCACCTTTTCTTCCTCTTTCTCCTTCACACTCTCTTCTCCCGCTTACCTTCCGTCTACCGTAGCCACGCGAATGCTCACGTACTCCACCAAACTCTCGCTCGACTGTTCTCTCTCTCTCTCTCTCTCTCTCCCTCTCTCCGTCTCTCTCTCTTTCTCACTCATTCACTGGTTCGTTCTTTCTCTTCTCTGGCCAGGCGCCGCGCGACGGCCTCTCTAATTTTCTTCGGAGTTCAGCTATGCGAACTACATTATGGAATAATTGCGTGGGTCGTTATTCCCGGCTTCTGTTTTCGCCGGCAGCCACCGTTTTCATCCCTATATAGTCACAGAAATAACGCGAGCGCCCACCGCGAGCAACCTCCCTTCCTTCCTCTTTCTCTTTCTCTTTCTTTCTTTCTACCTCTCTTTCTCTGTACTCGCGCCAAGGTAATGAGTAATAATGTTCGAATTAAAATTATATTCTACGCGAGGTGGATTTCTTAACGAAGCTGTTGGATAACGATCGGACTACTCTCTCTTTCTCTCTCTCTCTTTCTCTCTTTATCATTTTATCTCTCTCTCTCTCTCTCTCTCTCTCTCTCTCTCTCTCTCTCTCTGGGGATTTAAAAAGACGCAAATCCGTATTCGTAACTTTAAGAAGTATCGTAGAAAATTTAAATGGCAAAAGTCATCGAGATGTATTTATCGAGCGAAGTTTGAAAAAGTTAAATACAATTGAAGAAATAAATAACGAGAAGACGATAACGCCGACAAAACCAATGAAATTCAACATTAATAACGAACTATTCAAGTGGATAGGAGAGTTCATGGCATGGATCCACATCTCGTCGACGGTTCAGTCGCAAGAACGATGGCTGTAGTAACGTTCGGTCGCTTCGAGCTGCCGGACTGGAATGAGAATCTTAGTCGAAGTAAGGAGAAATGGGTTGGGGTTGCGAGGAGTGTGGGGCGGGGGCGGAGGGGTTGAACGTCGAAATAAACGAGGGAACGCCACTTTAAACGTGCAATTGCATTGCCAGGAATCAGACCCATTCCACTCTCGTTCTACTCTCTCTCTCTCTCTCTCTCTCTCTCTCTCTCTCTCTCTCATCCTCTCTCTGACTCTTCTAACGTTAAAGGACGAAGAAAGGGCGGGTCGCAGAGTCAGCCTCACCTCGCCTTGCCTTGCCCGCGACCCTTCGAGATTGCTGAGCTATTCTCGCGACTGAATGTTTCATTAAGGCCACCCGGTATTGCTCTTAGATAACTCTACGAGAGGTAAATGAAATTTCCGCCATCTCCGATATCGCTACTATCACCACCACCACCACCACCACCACCACCACCAACACCACTACTACTACCACCAGAGTATCATCAGGGTGTATCACCCCACTACTCTCTTCCGAGCGACCTAGCATCGGCTGGAGTTTAATCAAACGTCCATTGCTCCTTCGATGGAACAAGAGCGTTGAATCCCGGAGCGTACTCGTCTCTAGACGTTTTGGTAACGTCGATGCGTCAACGAAAATGTTTACGAAATGTGCTTTCCAGCAAAAGGTACAAGGAAAAGGAAATGGAACGAAATCGAGGAATGAAAATCGAGAGGAAAAGGAGAAGAGAAAGAAGAAGAAGAAGAAACACGTACGTCTGCATGTGTAAATGAGAAGATAGAGATAGCGATAGAGATAGAGATAGATAGATAGAGAGAGAGAGAGAGAGAGAGAGAGAGAGAGAGAGAGACGGGAAGAACAGCCTGCAGCCAGCCGTCCGCCTACCACTCGTAACGATCTCGCATCAGCCGTCACCCGTTAAATTTACCCGGAGAGGAAGGGGAGAGCCCTATGGAAAGAAGATCTGCGCTCGAAGCAAAACCCGTAGAGGTAGAAGAAGGTAAAGGAGAGGGAAAGAGTACAGGTTGGTAGATAGGTGGGCGCTCTTTCCGAGAGAGAGAGAACTCACGGAAGAAGAGAGAAAGGAAAGAAAGAGAGAGAGAGAGAAAGAGAAAGAGAAAGAGAAAGAGAAAGAGAGAGAGAGAGACAAGGTGGTGCAAGGGTAAACGAGGGGCCTTCTATGTGGCCTAGATCGAGACGAACTTGAATGCTCGAATGTCAGAGAAATGGCGAATCCTCATTTGCCGTTTCCGCGAGCACGTGCATATACGCCACCGAAGGAGTAGAGTACGAGCTTGTAAAGATAGAAAGAGAAAGAAGATAGAAATGGAGAGAAGGAGAAAGACAGAACGAGAGAGAGAGAGAGAGAGAGAGAGAGAGAGAGAGAGAGAGAGTTAGTGGAAGGGTTGTGCTGGGAAGTAGTAGCATCGCTCCGAAGGGTAGAGAAGCTCGGGTGTGCGCGCGCGAGCGCACGTGCACACGTTGCGTGTGTCTGCTTGCTCGGCTGCTGTCTGCCGTGCTCATTCCCGCGATCTTCAATTAATGAAACTCGGCTGCAGTCGCGTCGCATGTCAAATAAATATGTCTCCTTCCCCTCCGGCTCCTTCACCCGCTACCATCGTTTCTATCCCTATCTTTCTCTCTATCTCTTTCTCCCTCCTCTCTCTCTCTCTCTTTCTTTCTCAAAGTCCTTCTTCTTCTTCTTCTTCTTCTTCTAGCCTTTACAACCCCTCCCCCCGTTTCCAATCCCCTCTCTCTCTCTCTCTCTCTCTCTAACCCACCTCCATTCTCTTCCAATTTTGCGTCTACGCTGGTATTTCATGTTCCATCGACTTCTTCCTTCCTTCCTTCCTTCTTTCCTTCCTTCGTTCGTTCGTTCGTTCGTTCGTTCATTCATTCATTCATTTCTTCCCTTCCTTTCTTACCCTTTCGTTTTCTTTCTTCTCTCTCCATCCATCAATGACAACGTTTTCCTCTCGATAGGTTTCCGAATCGATGTGTGTTTTAATATTCCTTTAATGTCTCCCGTGATATATCCTATCATAGAAATTTTTTTTCTTCTTTGAGATTGGTATTGAAAGATCGACGGAGATTCAAATCATTCATTAATATTTCAATTAGGATCGATCGAATTAGAATTGTTCGTTTTTCTTTTTTTCAGTCTAGTTCTTAGATTTCAATCTACAATCTATATATATATACCGTGCGACCAAGATATACGTGTATCACGTTGAGAATAATACGAATGACAGCATAACGGTAGACGGTAGAAAAGACCTTTAAAGAGTAAGTAGGTAGATCAGACTGGCGCGTGCTAGTTCCTGATTAATATTTTTCAACGGGCCACAGTGTATTCTATCTTTAGGAAGGTGTATTAAAAGGAAAAGAGAAGGAAGAAGAGTAACGATGAGGTGGGTGGGTTGGTCGGTAGGGGCGAAGTGGATTCGGGTGGGTTGTAGTAGGGTGGGGTGGGAAAAGTAGACGGGGAATAAGGGAGATAAAGGGTAAGAGGATGGAAGAAGGAACGTTGACGCGGTTCAGTACACGGGTCGTCGACACGGTCGTATAATGTCGCTGCTGGCTGACGGTGTATCTCGCTCGACCGGACGAGAGAGCGAAAGAAACGGGTAGCGAAAACGAGAGCAAACGGGAGAGCGTGCTGACGGGAAAGGGAAAAAGAGAGAAAGAGATAGAGAGAGAGAGAGAGAGGGAGATAGAGAGAGACAGAGAGAGAGAGAGAGAGAGAGAGAGAGAGAGAGAGAAAGAGAAAAAAAGAAAGACTGAGAAGGATGGAGAGAGGGAAAGCTTCCACGGAGATCTCTTTATTCTTATTAGCCCAACAGTGATTTCTGCAAAATTAAAATTGCCTAAGGAGGTATCATTTGCCTCCCCCTCGAGCCACCCACCCAGCCTCCTTCTCTTCCTCCTTCTTTTTCGTGTCTCTCGTGCACTCCACTTTGGTTCGGCGTCCTTCTCACGCCAGGCACTTCTTTGCCTCCTACCAACCAACCAACCAACCAGCCAAGAGCTTCTCTGATGTTGCTCCTACAGATAAGTGGTCGGCTCTTGGGTTGCCTGCCTGCGGGCACTATTGGCCGATGCGTTTTTCCATCCTCCTCTATCCACATCTTTTTTCTTTATTTTACCTCCACCTCTACCTCCACCACCACCACCACCACCTCGCGCGTCTCTTTCTCATCATTTCTTTTCCTCATCCGCTTTTTCCATACCACCCTACTACTTTCTCTCAACCACGATCCTTTACCCTCTCTCTCTTTCTCTTTCTCTCTCCCTTCTTTCCCTTGTGTTTACGTTTTATTTTACGTCACGTTCCCTCATTATCTTTCTCATTTCCCAGGATATACTCATTCGGTCGTGACGATCGTCGGAAATGGAGAGAGAAATCGGTTGAGTCCGATACCAAGACGTTCTATCTTCGAAGGGTAATCACGTGATTCTTTTCCCCCTTAGAATGATTCTTTCCCTCCTCCCCTCTCGTTTTAAAGCATAAAGGAATATATATATATGTATACTCGTCGATACTACTTTCATATCGTAGAAATTAAAAGTGAATTAAAGGTTCCCTTTTTAAGCTGTGATTTTTCCAAGAGAATAATCCCTTATGTTTTCGACTAGAGGAAGTGCAGGTGAATAACAAGTATTTTGTTTCATTTGTAATAGAAAGAGATACACAACAATTATTAAATTGTAACATTTTTCGGTGATCGATTTTCATTGAGAAGTTTGGTTGGTTTGATCGTGTCGTCTTTAAGGATTGGGTATGAAATTTCACTCGTCGACTTTGACGGAAAAGGCATCGAGAAAGGAAGGTATGTACATAGGATAGAACACAGGAAAGGGTGTACTTTATCAAACGTTACCTAGGAGGACCACGAGTATATCCTCATCCCTTTCAATCTCGTGCGGTCCGGTTCCCGAACCATCGTATATATCGATTAAACGGAATTTAATCGTGTCACAGTTAATCGAAAGCTTTTACGGGTTGGTAGTAGATAGTAGATAGGTACCCTTAAACTCGGGGTATCGTCTTTCCCCTATATATCTTTGTAGAGGCAAAGCCCTGAGACGCTGAACACACTGCTATAACCTCAGACCGGTTTGGATGAAACGTGGAACGCGCTACGGTAATTAACCATACCTCGACGAACCTGGAATCTCAGCTTGGTTGGGTTCATATTATATCATTCTTGTTGTTTCACTCTGACGAAACCGGGAGAAGGAGATCGGTTAGATCGTTAGAGCATTTTCGCTCGCGGTATTATATTATAGGCGTAGACGGCCATTAAGGATTGATCGTGTGCGATGCGATGCAATGGGATGCACTCGCGCTTGCTTGCTCAGGCGAGCGAGCGGGTGGGCGGACGCGCGCGCACTTGCACGCGTGCACACCCGCATGCATCGGTAATGATAATTAACAAGGTACCTTAGCTGGATTAACGCGAAAGAGAGAAAGAGAGGTAAGTAGATAGGTATCCATAGTCAGTTAGAGCGATTTCCCTTGGAAAAGGCTAACTGGTACTAGCTAGCTAGCTAGCTAGCTAACTAACACTCTGCCTCTTTGGCTCTCTCTCTCTCTCTCTCTGTTTCTGGGGACGCCGACTGGCGGTGCCTCTATAACGGGGCTTGAAACCGTTCTCATTAACCCGCGAGCGAATACCGCGCTACGTCTATTCTGTTCTATCTGCATTCTGCACCCGGGAGCATTCGGTGGATGCCTACTTTGATTTGTCTTGGAATATTGCGCTGTATTCTCTTATTCGTGCCGCGTCTCCCGGCAACACTTCCCTACCATTCTCTCTCTCTCTCTCTCTCTCTCTCTCTCTCTCTTTCTATATATATATATATATCTCTATCTTCTATTTTCCCATCTTACTCTATCTTTCCTTTCTCCTTCTATTCCTTCCTTTCCTAATCTTCCATGTTTCATCCTAAATCGAGCTTCTGTTCGTTCAACGAAGGATGATTAGACGTTGGTCTTTTCGTAAGATTCACAAACGTATCTATCAAAGATATTAATGATGTCTCTACTATCATCCAGTCAACCCTCTTCTCCCTCGTCGATCCATAAATAAGATTCTAATGTAATCGACATATAAAAGAAATTTAGACAATTGAATATTACGGCAAAAATAAATATAATAATCTTTGTATCTTGTTAACGTTTGCACAAGGATGCTTTGTTATTCGAAAGTTTCGAATGTTAATTCGTTAAC